CGCGTCAGGCAATAGCTCGGCTGCTATATGATCCCCAGACCCTTATCACTTTCAGCCCTATATTTTAACTGTTAAGCCACATGGCCTGCTATAGAATATGCCACAAAGCATCCCAGATGTGCATCGAGAGAGATACTTTCGTAACCCAGCTAAGATCATGTCCCCTTAGGACTTTCTGATTATTGGATGTTCTTGGTGACCTCTCCTGCCATGTAAGCGCATTAACCCAAATGTTACGGGGATTTCCCCACATGACAGTCTTATAAGATTTTCTTATGAGGTCACTTCCTAGGAAGGCAGGGATTTAAAAGCTGCCACAACACGCAGTGAAGCAAGCAACATGTGGCTTCGCTTTCAGTCTGTCATTTTAAGCAACGAAGAATTTATATGGATAAGATTTCTGATACAGCTGATGTAGCATTTTTTCTTTGTTTATAGACTTAGGATTCACCTTGAAAACATCCTCTCAGAACATCAGAAGTGCACTTGGTCCCTGAACGGTATATTAACTTCTAACATTTCTGACGTCCAGTCATGGAGATTTTGAAACCAATTGCATACAGCAGAGGCTTTTCACTTTTAATGGAACATTTAGGAGAGGGGCAACTTTCCCTAATTTCCATGTTATCTTCAGCCCATTAACTGTTATCAGCCCTGATAGAAACCATCCCGTCTCCCTGAAAACATGAACCACATACTATGTTGCTTCTTGCCTTTTAAAGATTCGGGTCACTCAGGTACATGATACTGAGACAGAACATGTTGACTGTTGGTGTGTATTTCCCCCAAGCCACCACTCAAGCCAGCATTCGGTTTTCATTGAGGTTGGCCGATGGCTTTTAGCTGGAGCCCCAACAGTGTGACTCCATACAAGGCACTTCTTCTGAACTATTTTGGAATTTTAGGTACATTATATTATTAAATTTAAAAAACTAATTTGTTAATTTTTTTTCAGTAAAGCTTTTGAGTTTGATGGGTCTTCCTTTTCCAAAAAAGTTTATGAGCTTTTGAGTCATGTTTTTTAATGAAAGGATTGACTTTCCCATGGCATCCAGCGCTGTAGATGATCATCTGAAACAGATTTGACTGTGTTTGTTTACCAAAAGGCTGCCTAAACCAAACTCTGCCCTGAATGTTTTGTTTTCCACATTTGTGTGCTAAATCTGTGTAATTTGGTAGTTTGTCTCTCCAGAACCACGGTTGGTCTTGCGCAACTAATCAGCAGAGGCAGCAGTCCAGCGGGTCTGCAGAGGCAAGGGAGGCTGTGAGAGGAATGCAGCCTCAGGCGACAAGGGACCTCAGGGTCAGCAGCTCAGCCACATTCTTCCCTGTCCCCAAGTTCACACTGAGCAAGTCAGGATGGCAAAGAAAGGCTCTGTCTCCAGATCGAACACAGGATTTGCTGTGGTGGCTTCCTGGAGCCAAGGCGTGTTAGGGGTGATATCTACAGACTTTGGTCACTGCTTCACTTAGAAGGCTTTGGAAAATCAACAGTTTTTGTTTCTGTCTTGTTCTGTGGGTTATATTCTGGAAAAATATGACAGACGCTAAAATAATAGATGGCAAATTTAAGGTTTTCATATAAATAGCATAGTAGGGAGCTATTCTCAATTTTATAAGGAACGTATTTAATTGTTACTCTTTCCCTTTATTCTTTCCTTGAGAAATATTGAATGTTTGATTATGTACAAAGAATAGAATATGAAGGGAAACAATACGAGTATCTTGTTACATGTCATATAGTATAAATCTTTAAATTGTTAATATAAATTAAACAGAGCCCCTCAGTGTCGTGGCTCTTGCCTGTAATCCCAGCACTTTGGGAGGCTGAGGTGGGCAGATCACCTGAGGTAAGGAGTTTGAGACCCAGCCTGACCAACATGGTGAAACCACTTCTCTACTAAAAATACAAAATTAACCAGGTGTCGTAGCACGTGCCTGTAATCTCAGCTACTTGGGAGGTTGAGGCAGAAGAATCACTTGAACCCTGGAGGTGGAGGTTGTAGTGAGCCGAGATCACGCCATTACACTCCAGCCTGGGAAACAAAAGTGAAACTTTGTCTCAAAAAAAAAAAATTAGCTAGTATAAATAATTTCCAATTGAGTATCTTTGTATATAAACCTTTGTGCATGTATTTGATCATTTCTAGTTCCTAGAATTACCAGACGTACCGAGCCAAAAAGGGATGACCATTTTTCAATGCTCTTAATTTCCCTCCACTATATTTCAATTAAGAATGCATGAGAATAATTGCATGCTGTATCTTTTTAAAAGTTGGATATCAAATATTAAAATTATTGTTTTGGGGGAAGATTTAGGCAGATACTGCACTCAGATCATAGAAATGTCAACGGGAGTGGTCTCAGAGAAGTTATACAGTGTAAAATTTGACATCTGAATCTTGAAAATTTTTTCAGTTAAATTTACATGTGTTATTTACTTCGTTAGTTTCATGTCTAGTTATAGAAACTGATCAAACAAGCAAAGTCACTGAGTAGCAGAGACTGATTTTGAAATCCTCAAAGTTTGCCCAATCTCCCACCAAAAGATTAAATCCCTTCTGTAACATATCTTACGGAGCATTAGTTTCTGTTTAAACACTCCCAAGGTCTAGGCATTCCTTACTTCACCAGGTACTCTTTAAAGTTAGTTTTCATTTATGTAGAATAGGCTTGTGTATGCTTACACACCTTTGAGACCTTGAAAATGATCCAGACCCACATCACAGCAAATGTACCATATGGTTGGTTTACATTTCCCGTAAGTTGTATATGGTACATATTATCTGCATTCCGTATACTCATATTTGCAATCAACTAGGGACAATCTTAAAAGAACCTAGAAAATATTGGCACAAGACATAAGTCAGTTTCAAGCGATCTAATTATGGTGTTACAAATGACTATGTTAGCTTCGAACTGTGCCTTTACCTCTGACCATGAAGAATTTGCTATTAAAGAGAATGTCTTCTTGGATCATATGCGTTCCCTGCAGTATGGTCCTGCAGCATGGATACTGGAATCATGTCAAGTTTCCAGGTCCCTAGAATTATTGGAAGGTACGATGTTTTCGTAGGGTCAACAAATGTAATGGCTTCTTCTTTATTATTTAGTGCTGCCATAATAATAGTGCTTCATGATCAAACATCATCTTCTTTGAACTTCTAAATAATCCTGTGATGTGAATATAGTAATTATGTTGTTCTTGATATTATTAGGTATAAATACATATTCTCAGTTTTAAGTTGAAGAGGTCAAATTTCCTGAAAATGTCATACATCTAATTAATTTTAACTGATGTACAGTGCTTGAAATTCAAGAACAGAACTTTGAATTGTACGTTCTGTGCTCTTTTTACCACCTAATTTAATATAATACCTTCCTTAGCCCACAGTTCTGACTTAATGCTTACTGATTTTACATGATACTATGACGTAAACATCTAAGAACACTATATGAGTTTTAGGGTTTCTCTAATCCAAGGACTAGGTTAAAACAATCCTGTGGACTTTGAACAGACACAGTCCTTTGAAAAAAAGAAGTCTGTATCTGTGTACTGTGTCCACACATCCAAAATATTTCTTTTAATATCTGCGCAAATTTCATCAGGAGGAGAAAATAAGGGCCAAAACATTTCGTGCTGGATTTGATTTCTTGTTCCCCCAGATCAAGGAGGACATCTAAACCCAGAGAAACCTGTGACTGACAAATGGGAAGTGTGTGTTTGAATGGGGCACCTTTGCTGTTGATGAAGAAAGAATGGGTCAAGTTGGAGAGACCAAGGATGACCCCATTTGTATCTAATTTGTATTTATTTATATCCATCTGCTGCACAATTACAAATGTTGGCCTGTGGACTGTGGAAGAAGGAGACAATATAGAATGCCTGAACACAACATGACCTTTTAGCTCTTTGACTGAGAGCTCCAGAGTGAAGATAAATGTCATGTTGGAAGAGAAGTATCAAGATTTTCATTAGTCCATGAATCAGAGTTTTATTTCAGCCTCACTCTTCATGCTGACACCCCAGAGTGTAGTAAAACAGAGTTCTAATCAAAACAGCGTAATGAAATATAATCTACAAAGGAAAAGGTTTATAGGTTGGCTTTCAAATCAGACAGGTGTTTTTGGTATTTTAAGAATAAAATTCTCTGACAATTTTCTTTTGTAGTTGAATATGATCTGTAAGATGTATTTTTTTTTTCACAGAACTTCAGCAGTTCCACAGTAAGACACTTACAGGTCACATAAACAGAATAAAAATGGGGCTCAGAAAATCTTCCACATTACAAGCTGTGTAGTGCAGAGAGGACAGTAACATTCTTTTCTGTGTGATTGAACTAATTCAACTCAATTAATTGGTTTATTTATATAGTCAGTGTGAATAAACAAATATTTATTTAGCAGCAATTTAGTTGGCCCTCAGCAAATATTTATTGAGGGCCGACTCTACGTTAAGAACATTATCAAATCTTATCACCCTACCTGGTCTTTAACTGGAACACATGGGAGAGAATAATTAGGAAGTGAAAGAGTAGTTGGAAACTGAAGAATAAATCCATCTGATGATTACATCAAGTTATTTGCACAATATCATGTTAAACCAGGCTCATTGCTTTCAGAAAATTCTTCAGCTACCCTAATTCTTAGATGATTTAAGTCTCTAATTCAGGACATTAAGATATTAGAGATTCAAATCCCGTGTTTCACAGTCCTTGTTCATGTTATCGTTAGCTTTCGAAAAGGAAGAACAGTTTGCCGTTTTAGCAGTCATTGTGTCAGTGAAAACTCTATGGAATCGGTGTATTTTTTTTTTAATTCTAGGACACCATCATCTTTAAGATATACAGCTTTTATGGATTAAAAATGCATTACATGTGAACAAATTTTAATGCTGACCATAGCATATGCTTAGTTATGCCAACTTACGTTCTGAATTTTGAGTCTAAACCTTTGTCACGTCCTAAGTCTAAGGTTTTTTTTTCTGAATCATTTTCCAGTATCTACCATGATGGCAATGTTCCAATGACATCAGCATCTTACAGCCCATGTTCCTGCTCAAGCCTCCTCAGCACTAGGACAGCGACTGGCTTCTATGCCTTTGATGCACATTGAAAAAGCCTGTATCTACACTTGCTTCACACCTCCCTTGTTTGACTCATGGATCTCTGAGAGGTAAATTGCTTGACGCTGTTGTTAGGTAGTTGCTTTGAGCCTGTGTAATGGTTCTTCAAGGATCCACCTCCTCTAGCTCTGAAAATTTTTATTCAAACACACTTAGCTATGCTCATACATGTATAGACATTTCTTTGGACATATATTTTAAAATTACTCTTTATTTCAGAAATGTTAAAATATGAAGACATATAATCTCAGAATCAAGGAAAATAGGGCAACAAAAACCCAAGTAGTCGTGTTGCTTCCCAGGAAGATGATGAGCTGGACAGAGGAGCTGGGAAGTCGGGTTTGTACCTGCATGGTGTATGTCATCATTTAGCTCCAGGTGAACCCTCTGAGGGCACAGGTGTATGTGTTTGTGGTTGACTGCTTTGATATATTCCATTTTGGTTTCAAAACACCAGGGGACAACAGTGACCACACTACTTAAACAAGCATACAGAAACTAAATGTGGATCTAGGAAAAGAGATTGTTAAGGATATTAATTTTTGCCACTACTACTAGTATTAAAATAAATAGCACTGAAACCAAACTCAAACACAATTACTTTTCCTAGCGTAAAAATTCAGTACTCATACTCAGAAGTTTTAAAAAACTAATATTTATGAAGTAGAAGTATATTTAATTTTTTTACAATTAAAAACATGCATCAAATATACCAAAAGAAAAAGAAAGAAAATCAAAAGTTCTTATTTCTAATACTTAGTAAAAATAGTTTTTACACAGAGAGTCAGTGTAGTTGGTTCTTCAGAAAAGACTGATTATCAGTGACTAGGAATCATTTATGTATTAACACAAGTTTTGTAGTTTTTATTCTAAAAGTTATAAGCACAAAGCAAAGAATTATTTTTCCTCATCCTTTCGAGAACAAATTACTGATCTAATACCCTATCACCTCTGAATATTCTGTGCTGTTTTTCCTATGAACAAGAATCTTCCTACATGTGCTTAATATAATCATCAAAGTCAGATAATTAATACTGATATATTACTACTATTTAATTTGCAGAGACAATTCAAGTTTGCTAATTGTCCTAACAATATTATTCTTTGTGGCAAAGTATGAAGTTCAGAATCCCCCGTTGAGCTTAGATGCAGGTATGGTCGGGCCCTGTGTCCCCACCCGAATCTCATCTCAAATTGTAATCCCCATGTGTCAAGGGAGTGCCGTGGCTTTCTTGTTTCCTTTTCTCTGGAAAAGTTCTTCATTCTGTCCTTGACCTTCATTTTCTTAACACCTTTAAAGATGACAGGCCAATGCCTATGGAATGCCCATTAATTTGGATTTATTTGATGTTTCCTCGTAATTGTATTCAAGATACGCATCTCTGGTAGAAATACCACTTAAAAATGGTGGAAATACCAAGAATAAGTGACACTTGGCTTTCTTTTCTCACTGCATCCTAAAAGGACGTGCCCAACTGTGATTTGTCCCATTACTGATAATGAGTAGCTTGATCACTTGATTAAAATAATATCTACTGGTCTACTACACTAAAGTTACTCATTTTCCTTTGTAATTAGCACATACTTGGTGGGAAGTATGTTGAGACTATAAAAATGTGTTCTTCAGCAAACTCCAATTGATTAATTATTTATTTACATCATGAGGATTTGTGGTTTTCTGTTTTCTGCAGTAAATTATATCCTGCTATCATCATTTATTTGATGATGGTTTTGTTTTCTAGCTTTTGCCAATGGGAGCCTCTTTCGGGTGGCTTAGTCTCTTTTGACATGGTTCTGTGGGGGGCCCTTCTTACCTGGCTTGGGCTCTGACACCAGCATCAGTTTTCCTTCCTGGCCCCCTTGGTTGCCCTACTTTCCCACCCAGGCTCTGGCACCGTGCCGGGGGCCGTCTCATTCTGTCCTCGCTCACTTGGTGGTGGCATAGTCGACTTCCCTAGCCGGTACAAGCCAGCTCTAGCTCACTCCTGACAGGTGAGGATATGTCCTCTAAGGGGAAGGGAAATGAGGGTAGGATCACAGAGAATGACTTTATGCAAAGCTGTGGACTTAATGGAACAGGTCATAGACCTGCTCTGCACCAGAACTGGCTGAGGCCACCTAGGGCTGAGTCAAGCACCTGGTGGCCTAGGGGGCCTGATCCAAGGAAGAGCAGGACATGGCTCAGGTTCTGGTTGCCTGGGGAAGCGTGAATGACAAGCTGTGCCGTTGAGGGAAGACCCCTGAGAGCAGGTTGAGGAAACCCAGGGCCCATGAGGTATTTAGCAAGAGTTGCCATCAGTCAAGGACAGGGCTGTGACAGGAAGTGGCTTCTGGGAGGATTCAGATCCACTGGCAAGCTACATTCTCAGAGCCTTCCACCGGTGTGTGTGATCCCCACACCTCAGAGTGACTTTTCGAAACATGTCCACTGCCTCTTCTGTCATACACTTCCCCTGAGGCAAGGAAGAGCTGTCAGTTTGAATCAGGGGTAAAAAGAGAATAATAATGGCAAATCATAACGAGTAGCACTGAGCCTCTGTGATCTTATGAACACGTTTCTAAATGCTTTACATGTCTTAAGTCTTTAATCCTCACTGATATGATTCTCATTTTATAGATGAGGAAATTCAAGCAGGAAGAGATTAAGTAACGTTCAGGTGAAATAGCTGGAGAGGGCATAGCGGTATAACACACCACAGCAGCCTGACTCCACACCCCATGCCCCACTCCGCTACACTAGGGAGAAGAAAACATTCAGGGAGGACAAAGTATTGGTATCTCAAGATATTATGCATTGCATAAATAAGGTAGGTGAGTGCGTGACCTGGCATCTAACAGATGTGCAAGAAATGTTTTTTGAATAAATCAGTGGACAACCTCTGTCTTGCATCAGTTAATCCTTATAAGGTGAGAGTTTTATAACTCTCACTGTCTTGCTTTTTGATTTTGCATATTTCAGAATGTAGGTAATCTTTGAGCAGTGTGTTGTAGTTTCCCAAACAAGAATTTGAGAAACACTGCAAGAGTATGCCCAGCTTCAGTTTTGAAATATTGCATCAGTTCTTCTGCTCCTAGATCATGGAGCTCTTCTTCATCAATAGATTTAATTCATTTAAATATTTATTTACAATAGCCGTTTTTTCCCTTGACCTTTTCTGCATGAGGCAGGCCTGGATATTGTGCTGAGGGTTTCACTCAGTGAGAGCCAGTGCTCCACCTTGGCCTGTGCACAGCGGCCACATCCTTGTTTCAAACCAGTGCTCTGGCATCTGTCTTTACCCTCCTCTGAGTTTACTGTATAAAAAGGTCTGCTTTTGAGAGAAGTCTGGAATGCACGGTCTCATCTTTATGATGAGAGGACAGATCTCCCATTAAAAGAAAAATTCTGCATTCTGAAAAACTGAGTAGGTTGGCACTTAAAAGGGAATTCCAGCTGGTTAATTTAGGGTGCTGAGAAAGAGAGCCAGCACAAGAATTTAGGGTGCTGAGAAAGAGATCCAGCACAAGAATGCTTTCTGGCTGTGGGCCCACTGCATTTTCAACTGATTGCGAATTGGAGACATTTTCATCACATAAGGGACTTCGCTGTTCAGTATCACATTGTTCTGAGATAGAAAAACAAGTGAGCATACAGTTTGGCTTGGTATCATAGCTGTATTCATGAACATGAGCAATGCCAGCTGCATCAGAACCAAAGATAGCCTTATGCCTGCTGATATGTTAAAAGTAAAAAAAAAAAACCTGGATGAAAATTTAAAAAATATTTTCCCTCTTGAAGTTTTTTTTTCGTTTTTTTTATTCTTGCCTACTAATTTTCTTTTCTGTTATGTCTAAGAAAATATTCAGTAGATGTGAAAAGAGCTTTAGGTAAAAGAACACTTTTGAAAATTGTTTTGTTCCTATGATTGTGTTTTCCGGTGGCTTAATGTGTAAAAATGCATAGGAATCCTCGGTGGGTCCAGGCAGCTCTCCAGGGCAGTTGTCCTCCAGGCATTGTATGAATGAATGAATCCAGCGATTCATACAGCTTTAGCCTGTTGCTCTACCAACTCCATACTAGACCTCGGTCCTTGGACAGGGAGAACGAGAAGCTCAGCTGCTGTGGTGAGGCTTTTTGTGGCTTTGGCCTGAAAGTGACACATATCGCTTCTGCTCCCATGTCCTTGGCCAGAAGTTGTTCTGTGGCTCTGCCTAACTGGAAGCGTCTGGGTAGCAGAGTCTCTCCCCAGCCCAGAAAGAAGAGGAGAGCTGGTTGTTGCTGAACACTGGTAACGGCATGTGGTCCAATCGCGCTTCCCAGACGTCAGTATAGTCCAAATGGTCCATGGTCCAAGTGAACAGAAAAAACCCCTAGGTTTGCTGCCACCTATGCAAACTAACAAAGCAAAACACCTCTCATTGTGCTTTCTTGTGGAGTGTTGAAGGTTCCCCAAATAAATTGTCCCTTCCGTAGAATTGTCTTTCCCATTTTTCTCTTACTCCATTCGTTTCAGCCAAAGGAATGTGGCCAAGTCTCTAGGTCGAGTCTGGATACCTTTTGAAATACCTATAGCTCCAAGAATTGATGCACTCAGAAACATGTCCAGATTTGAATTACTTCATCTCTGAATATTCTTTGTGCTGTTTATTGTCAAGGCATTCAAAATCATATGATGCAGTTGGCCTCAATACTATTAGTGCACACTCTTGGTTCTTCAACTTGGTTGTAGGACTGACCCTCTCCCCTCAGTTCCACTCAGGGGAGCTGGCTATCTAGTGTCCAAAAGGAAAGGACAAATGTAGGGAAGGTTGGGACAGGTATCGACGTCCTATGGATCTGATATTTATGTATTCTGTTTCTAACACTGTTCATTGCTTTATATAAATCCAAGTTGCTGCCTGGTATCATATTTCTTCTTCCCAGATAATTCCTTTTAACATTTCTTATAGGTAGGCCTGTTGCTGATAATTTTTCTCTGTTTTTATTTGTTTGATAAAGTCTTTATTTCTCATTCATATTTCACAGGGACTAAAACACTGAGTTGATGTTGTTGTTGTTGCTGTTGTTCGC